GTATAAACAAAAAACAATGCATGAGAAAAACAGTTCTGCATCAAACAAATCCTTGGTGTGCATGTGCTTTAATTTTGAATACAGGGTTGTATAACTATTGCCGTATGTGTACATGCAAAGCAGAGAGTTCAACCGTTTGACATTTTCAGCCCTTTTATTTGAGTTAATCTGACTAAATAGAAAATGTTTTAAATAATTGGAGCACATGGACATATTCAGAATCCAAATATGATATTCCTTAAAATAAAGAAAAAGGACAATGTAACATTGAAATATTGCATTATGAATCTGAATTTATGTGGTTTTAGTTTCCCAATTTCTTTTATTTCCTCAAATGTGTGTGCAAGTGTCCAATACTCCAAAATGGTATTTAAGCTTTCAAATCAATTGATTCCTGATCTAAAAATAGCAAATCTAGCCACATAATGAAGTTGTGCGGGCACAACAAATATAATATGAACATCTTGGACATCAAAGACCCAGAAATAACCAAATAGATACTGAACACTCAGAGATAAATGGTTGATCAAATCTGCATTATTTTTCTCAACTAACTTTAACAATTTCTGAGTGTCCAAGCTATTGTAGCCTCAGAAATCTCTCCCATTCACTCCTATTGATTAAAAACTCCACACAGAAAGAACCTCCATGTTTATCATTTTGAAAATGTAATAAATAACCTGTGAACGAGTTTTCACTGTGCGTGCTGCACAATACATTTCTCATCTATAATATCGGATCCTAACAGCCTCTCCACCATAGCGGCTTCCCCTTCTACTCATGTAATTTTGCCCTTGTCGTTGTCTGAGTCTGCTTGCTGCAGTCCGATTTGTCACTCTCAAACCTGCAATTGTATTCAAGGCCAAATATAGGGGTGAGAATGCTGGGGTGGGCTGTCTGTGTGTCACACAACAAAGCTTTGCACAAGGGTGTAGCCCTCTCCCTTACATCCTCCCACCTAACCGCCCGGCATGGCCAAGTTGTTTGCATGGAAGTGTGTGTGTGTGTGTGTGTGTGTGTGTGTGTGTGTGTGTGTGTGTGTGTGTGTGTGTGTGTGTGTGTGTGTGTGTGTGTGTGTGTGTGTGTCATTCACATCCTATCTTGACCTATGTGACTCAGCATTATGTGACCGCAAAAACCCAATGCTGAG